TTTCTAGCCAAACAAGGATTTGTGCTTACAAAGGTATTCTGTGCCTGGTTGGAAAAATATTTTTAAAGATATTTAAAAAGAATACAGAACAAATATTTAGAACAGTCATTTAAGCTGTGAAATTACTGGGTTTTTTTGTTTTGTTTTTTGCTTTATGGCTGGGGATGGACTTACTCAACATTAAAAGAGCTTTGTTTCTGTATCCTGTCATCTCAGCCACTCCACCCATCTTGTCACTATACAATTGTTTGGGATTTAAAAAAAAAAAACTCAAAAAATGTCATCAATTAACTTCTGATGAGTGGTGACCATACAAGTTAACGACCTCTAAAATGTCTGCTCTGCTCAGATGTTGCAAGCAAAGAGCATCTCATGTTAAGTTATTCTGCCTTCCTACTGTTCCCCACCCCACCCCGCTTCCTGGCAATATTGTCCTTTCAAAAGTCAAGGGGCCATATTTTGGAAAGCATGCACACATGTCCAAGGAGGTTTTGATCCAATATAGCTTTTCTTCTTCTGTTTGCCCAACTCAAGGAAAGGGTTTGGAAATTAGAACGTAGTTTTCTAGTCTGCATTCTGCAGAAGGGCATGGCAGCTTAGTTTACCTGAAAGGTTAAAGGGTTTGTATGTTTTTCCATTGTACATATTGCACTTATTCACACCTTTGCTTCACCATTTTATTAAGTCCAAAAACAACCCTTCAGAATATTTTGTCGAGAGAAACTATAGCCACATCCAGACAGTTGTTGCTTCTGTCCTCTCCCAGCAACCATAGTACAGATCATGTATTTATTTTCTCTGATCTTTTAGCGCTGGATAATTCTACATGAGGGATTTTTTGTTGGAAATTGTGTGTAATGTATGTATACTTAAACTTGCATTTTAAGAAGCCAGGAAACTGAATTATTCCTCAAAAAAGAAACAAACTCCAGTTTATGAATGTGGTATATTCCGTTCCTGTATCCACAATTCAAATTCTGGGATGCCAGGAAATTGCCCAATATTGCTGCACAATATTTCCTGCATTTCTAGCAGAAAAAAAGGATGTCAAGCTTTACATAGCAAAGGGCAGCCTGAATGTCGACAACAGCAATGGTAGCAGTCAAGATGGTCTGCAGGATATCCTCTTTATGCTCACTACCATTCACAGTTGTCAGAAAACAGCCATGACAATTGATTCGTGTTTTTTAAGTAGTGGCTTACTGATGAAAATGAAACCAGCTCCTGAGATTTTCCCTTGCTTGGTTTCACTTTGTGAATGACAACCCGGAGATCTTGTGTGACCTCTTTGTTGCATGTGATTTAATGGCTTGCAAGACAAAGAGCAGCCCTCTTGGTTGGCAACTATGAACTTGATTCAAGAATCAGGAGGATGACAGGGGGCCACTCAGCAGGCATGACTATTTCTGGGGAAGGTGAAGACCAGCTCCCTCAGATGACCAGCTCTGAAAATAGGGGCCCAAGCATGAGTACCAGCTATTGGGCATAAAAGCTTGTGGCGCCCCATACAGGTGCCTGCCAGGATGGCCAAGGGTGGCATACTGTTTGTTCCATTTCACTTTTTGTGGTCTGTCCTGTATACATGGGTGTAATAACTTTTGGTGATCTTCTTTTCTTTTCCAATATCCTGCATTCAGTTCACATTTCTGGAAGCAACTGTAGGTCTGATGTATCCAAGCTGGCCAATTCCTGATTTTCTGATTTGCCTGATTAACTTGACTGAATTTCCTGGTTAGTCAGAAGCTGGGTCATGATGGCTTTTCCACACATTGAGCCTGCATTCATAGTCACTCACATCACTTTAGTACCATGTACTGTTTCTGTGAAACTCAGCCAGGAGAAAGAGGATCCCAACTACCTTTACGTTATCTGTAATTCATTGATCCGTGTATCCCACTTCTGTAACTTAATTATAGAGGTTGTCCTGTTGCACTATGCAATGCTTGAAAGCTCTGAACGCTTTCCTAACTACCAAGTCACCACCCCAGCTTAACCACCCAAGAATAAGTCTGAGCCTCGGTAGGAGACAAAAGGGTCGTGGTGGCGCTGTGGGCTGAACCGCAGAAGCCTGTGCTGCAGGGTCAGAAGACCAAGCAGTCGTAAGATCGAATCCCCATGACAGAGTGAGCGCCCATCGCTTGTCCCAGCTCCCACCAACCTAGCGGTTCGAAAGCATGCAAATGTGAGTAGATTAATAGGGACCGACTCGGTGGGAAGGTAACAGCGTTCCGTGTCTAAGTCGCACTGGCCATGTGACCACGGAAGATTGTCTTCGGACAAAACGCTGGCTCTATGGCTTGGAAACGGGGATGAGCACCGCCCCCTAGAATCGAACACGACTGGACAAAAATTGTCAAGGGGAACCTTTACCTTTACCTTGGTAGGAGACACAGCTTTCCTCCAGATACAGCTAAGCAGATGCTGCCTGAGGAAAGGTGTTCCTGGTTATTGCTTTAGTTCTAAAACGTGCCAGCAACAAAGCAAAATTTCCTAACAAAGCCATACTGAGCAGATAGCTCTTCTGCTCAATGTTTTTTGCTCTAATCAGTCCTTGTCTATTGCCCTCCATTTTATTCCTAGATATCACCTTTCCCCAGGTGGGCAGCAGCAACCAAATGCAACCTGGCATGGTCAAACAGGCTTTCTTCTGAAGTCTTACAGAGAGAAATAAGAGCCATACCCAGCGCCATTCACTCCAGACCCCACTACTTCCAGCAGACACTGGTGCTCCTTGAAAGAATCAGAGGTGTTCTCCCTCTCTGCCTGCCCCCAGCTCCACACCCTTGCTCATCCTCTGCTGGGACTCATGAGGGATCAATTAACCTGCCAATGAGGTGGCTCTGATCTCTTTTGCTGCGAAACAACCCAAGCCAGGGAACAAAGGAAAGCCATTGATTTGTACGCATCAGTGATGGGACAGGAGCCAATAAGCCTTTTAGCTTCAAAGCTGACAGCACCAGCTGCTCCTTTTGGCAAGGTCTTTAAGAACAGGAGTTTTCTGTGTCTGCACGGGGGGGGGGGGGGGCAGGCTGTGCGCTCTATTTAAAAGAGGGGGAGAAATTGCAGTTGTGTTCAGATCCGCACAACACAAACCATGTAACACAGAAATACAAATTCTGGCATCAGGCAATTATGCAAACTAACTTTGCTTCTGATACCACCACCACCACCACCAAAAGCTACATTTTGAGAAATCTAGAATATGCTGCCAGAACTTGGAGGTATCAGGGTGCGAATGGCGAGTCAACATGCATAAATTAGACTTGAGCCCATATTAGTTCTTCTTAATCTCATTTCTTTCAGTACTTTAAACCCTTTTGTTTACCCATGTGTTTTCAAAGCGCATGCAAAGTGTCTAGAGAGCCCAAGAGTTCCATTTTAAAGAATCCAGGGGACTCTGTAGTCCTTGACCTATTCAACAGGAAGCTTCTGAGCCTTGGGAGCAAAGGAGCAGCCCTAACACTTCAGACTCATGCCTGATCAAGTCTGAAGAAGCCTCCTGACCTGACTAAGCTCAGTTTCCAGCAGGGTCCCATCATCTCTTCCTCGCCTCCATAAGACCAGTCCTACCTGCGGCTGCCGAGATTGTGCAGCCTTTTTGCTCGGACAACTTGGAAAGTTTCCCTGAGTACGACTAATCCCAGAATTGTTTCTATTAAGTATGATACCCGATAACATAGATAAGTCAAAGGAACACATAGTTATATATATTATTACAGCAGCCAGAATTATGTATGCTAGAAATTGGAAAAGTCCGGCGGTACCGGAACAAGAAGATCTTATTGAAAAGATACGGGAAATAGCTGAAATGGACATCTTATCAGAAGTTATGAAAGATCAACCCCTGCAAAAGGCAACAGAAAGATGGGACTTATTTTATAAATGAACTGAATCAACAGGTAGTAGCTGAATATATATAGTGAAATGAGAACTTTACATACAAGGCAGAAAAGAGTAAACAGAATTATTTCAAATTTGATATGGCAATAGGTATAGATTGGATATTAGTATGTCATAGTTTCCCCTCTCCCTTACAAATCCCAACTCCCCTTTTCCTTTGTTACCCTTTATATTAAAAATATTTTTTAAAAAAAGAAAGTTTCCCTGAGTTGAACCCTTTTGGCTTGTTTAGGAACTAGGCAGTTTTGTGAGCCTGAAAATGCAGGAGCTTTTGCAAAGTGCTGTCTAGGCAGCCATTAATGTACAGATCAAAATGCGTGGGGAAAGCAGTGGAGCAGTTTCAAGGTTTGCCCAGTTTGTTTCATTTTGTTAAACCAAAGGTTTCCTCTCACTGAAGGTCAGCATTTCCACATCAAAATGGAAACTCACAAAGATTCAGCTCACCTCCACTATAAATGCAAGGAAACCAGAAAGGCAAAACCAAAAACAAGCAAGGAAACAAACAATAACACCCACAGGTTGACGAGGCAGCGAATCCCATTCTTCACTTCTTCTCCTCCCACCACTAGAAATACTAATAAGCCACTACCTGACATTTAAGATTACACTACAAAATTTTCCACACACTTTGATGTCATTTTTCTATGCAGCCGGAGAAGTTTTTTTTTTACTGTTTTGTTTTTTAAAAGTTTTTGTTGTTGTTGTCAGGATGCTGAACTCCATGGCAAGATATACATTTTGCATTTGCCAAGTCAGCCTATTAGTATGCATGCCACAACTCTTAGCCCTGGCTCTAAGTGGCAACTGTTAACACACTGAAACAAAATAACAAAGAGGTGAGGTTCATTCTGGCAGAACAGGAATCCTTTTGGGAGACCAAAGCCAACGGCGCACAGCCATCACCACAAAGAAGTTTTTCTGTACAACGCGGTAGAATACAGCACAGCAGAGTAGAGTATAGCACAGAATTAACAGAGTCTGCAGTAGCCATGCATGTAAGAAAAATATTAAAAGTAACTCCTGGAATTTGCTGCAATAAGCGCTCACAGTAACAGCTCCCTTTCCATGATAACTTCTTGTCTAAAAATATTAATATATACCTGCACATCCCAGCGTGCACCTTCCATGAACAAACCATGGATGCAGGCGCCTTCCCGCGGTGGGCTGGTGAAATCATCACGGCTTCGCTTGGTCACATCACACTGTAGGGTCATTTTATCCAACGGCCACTCATTTTTTCGGGCTGTGGACTGCATTATGGCTGTCAAGAAAGACTGGGGGTTGAAGAATCCTGCCAGCCACACTACAGACGGTAGCATGAAGTCTCCTGTCCATGTCTCCAACTCCTTGATACGGTTTAGAAGATCAGCAAACCAGCCACCCAGGCCAGCCATGGACGGATAAGCCCTCCGGGTCCATGACTCAGGCACTGTGTCTAGGAAGATGGCATTCTGTAAAGTCTCCATATCACTAGTCATTGTCAATTCACCCTGGAAAAGGTATAAAAGGGGATGGGGGTGGGAGGGGGTGAGAGCACAAGATGCAAAGCACTGGCTTGAGTAAAAATGCCACAAAAATGTGAAAAAGGCATATTTAATAGCCATCATTCAGGAGGATTTACAGTGAATCAAAAGCTTCCATGTTCAGCTGCATGTAACAATGAAGGATATAGGGCAGGCAGCATTTGGGGAAAGTAAGGCTAGACACATGTTCTAAACACACACACACATGTACAGTATTTTAAACTAGTAGAAGGTTTACATAGTAATCCTCCTTGCTAATCCTGACAGGCCTGCCTGTTTCCTCAAATAAAGGACAAAAAACCCAGAAGAAAGGAAGGTGAGCATGTGGAGTAACTAATAAGTTGATAAAGAGAGGCCTGGAAATAGTGAAGAACTAGGTTTGCCGAAAAGGTCCAAGGATGCAAGAAACCCAGGAAAGCAAAGGTTCTGAAGAAATGTCACAGTACTCAGAACATGATGGAGATTTCAGGGAAAAGAGGAGGCAAGAGGCAAGGCAGCCAAATGACTCACTTCAAAGTCGGGAATGGCCTGAAAAAGCAGACGAATGAATAGTGGACCCTGTGGGATTTTTGAACACTGCCTACCCCCTGCCTTTGAACAGCAGCACCATTGGGCAAGGTGATTTGGGAATTCCCCTTAGCTCCAAAAAAGGGTGTGTTGACTAGATACTGTACATTGAATTGCAGAGAATGAGGAGGCTATGCCAACTATATGTTGTTAGGTCCACAGTCAGACAGGGAAATTCAACCATGCTGCTGCTACGCTCTGACAAGCTGTTTAAGGGGAGAGCTGTCCGCCCCACACCTCTCTTTTGTGCAGCCATAAACTAGCTCTATGCCTTCAGATGAAGCACAAGGCGCTATCTTGTCAGCCCTGGTGAAGTAAATTTCAGTTTTCCATCTTTCTGTACTGTAGATGGAATTGTGGAAGAAAGGTCTCATCTTGTCTTTCACCTGCAGCATCAGAGTGTCTTGGGCTGGACCTAAAAAGGGTCAGATCCCTCCCCACCTCTTTGATAGCAATAAGAGAGAGAGAGAGAGAGAGAGTATGTACCGTATATACTTTTATTGCTATACAGGAATGCATGCATACTGTAGTGTGTGTGCATGTGCGTGCGCGTGTGTGCGCGCACACGCGCGCACGTGTAAGCATGTATGGGTGTATGTATGCATTATCCAATGTATACTTGATCTTTTCTCAAAGGATCTCAGGGTGACTAAATTTTACAGCAACAATGAAGACGACCCTCTACCTTCAGGCCCAGGTCCAGTTCCTTCAGTGACCGCTTAATTTCACTAGTGAGGAGATTCATCCTTTCACATTCCTGGAAGGCTACAACAATGTATGGAGTCCTCTCTTCCACCTTAGCCATCATCTCGTGAATGTTAAACTCATCAGTGAGCTTCTCCAGGATGTCATCCAACACTGCCTTTACCTGCATACCAAAGGAAGGCAAGAGACGGCTGCTGAGAACTATTTGCGAAAGGCAGAAAGATCATCCCCAGGATGCAGGAGGAGTCTTCGGAAGGTTATATTATTACTGCTTCAGAATAGCTGAGACAGCCAACCTTGTTTCCTGTAAATCAGGTGGCATCCTCCAGATGTCTAAGGGCCACACATGCCCAACCTTAGACTTTTAAACAATTCCTCACACACCTCACAATTCTTTTTTCTTTTAAAGAAGGCTTACCTAACTGAAGGGTTCTCTCATGACCTCCAAAGGTCAAATGGAAAACAAAATACAGTAGGATGCCAGGTCCTCAAAAGTTACCTCCCATGACCTCTAGAGCAATAGTTCCCAACCTTGCACCCCCCAGAAGTTCTTAGACTGCAACCCTCAGAAATCATGGCCGGTATGCTAGTGGCGAAGGCTTCTGAGAGTTTTAGTCTAAGAACATCTGGGGACCCAGGTTTGGGAAGCACTGCTCTCTAGAGGGCACAAGGGGACCTTCTGAAGAAAATGTTTTTCTAAAAAATTGGGATGTGGGGAGTTTGGAGGACCCTGAAGGCCACATGTGGCCCACAGGTTGCTTGTTGCCAGTCCCTGCTCTAAATCTGACCTCTTAATGGATAATGACACTCTCCATACCTACAAGGAAAAGCCTTTAGAAATCATCACATTTCATACAGCAGATTTTTCTGCTTCCAGTTGAAAGGAATGAAACTATAAACAGAAAATAAATTAAACAGCGGAGCATATTGCATTGCACTTTTTTACAAGCTATTTTATTACTGTATTATTGACATGTGCAGGATACTTTTAAGACTGGAATTCTAATATGAACTTTCTCAGCAAACAAATTGTAGAAGAAACAAAACAAACAAAACTGTAATGTTCCCAAAAGGTCCTTGCAGCTAGATTCAGTAGAATGGTCACCAGACTTCAGAAGTGCTCGTGTAGAGTTGCAGGTTCATATAAATTAAACTGTAAATGTTAAATGGCACTGAAGCAGCCCCAGCCCTCCTCTCAATGAATCAAGGAGTACTCCATTCATCTGTACAGACCTTGTCTCTCTTCACTGCTCCTGCTACTTGTCATCAGTTGCAAACCAGACACACAGCAAGTCTATCAAATACTTCCCTTCTTCCAGAAAAAAAAGGTGCTTCACATCAAATTAGGAGGAGTAATAGTTCCCTTTCTGCAGCGAAATACAAACCATCTGTTCTGCCGATGTTTTCTCAGATAGGTCTCCATCTATGATTATCGGAGTAAGGGCAAAAATCCCAACACAGCCAAAAAGGGGAGGCTTAGCCAGAGAATGAGCGTGGTTAGTAGGCAAATGTCACATACTGGACATTCCCTAGGAGGTGATCACCAATAGTTCACTTTATGCAAGCTTCAGCATGGACTTCAAGAGTCTTCTTCTCCCAGGCTTGAATGGCAAATGCATTTTGAGGGCAGTGAGAAGAACGCTTATAAGTCAAAATGTCTTCTTGCCATAAGTTGGAATTAACTTGACAGAGCATAGCAGAAGGGGGCACATGCATAGAAATCTGAAAAGCTTACTATCTTAAAAATGAAGAACACTGGCTATAAAATATTAAAGAATTAATTTTCCCAAGGTTAGCGTAAACTATTTAAATTTTACGTTCTGGGTATAAATAGTATGAAACAATGGGCAGACCCTTTATCTTCCATGATTTTTTTAAAAACTGAATTTTAATGAACTAACATCTTTCCTTAAGGCAAGAGTGAAGCTTTTCTGGACTGATTGTTCCGAACCTTAGAAACACTCCCTGTTTTTTGATATGCATGTTCCAAGTGAGACTTCTTTACTGGATGCAACCACAGCTAATCATTAATGCATAGGCTCCAGAGTCCTAGCAGGCCCATTCCATGTCTAGCATGGGCCACTGCAAACCAAGGGAAGTCTGCATAAAATGTTTTTTATTGTTCTGTGCCATCAAGTCTGAACTAACTTACAGTCACTGTAATGGGGTTTTCAAGGTAAGTGAGTATTTAAGGAATGGTTTTATTAGTTCCACACTCTGGGCCTCCTGCATCCTAGTCCATCACTCCATCCACTACACCATATACAGTACATTTTATATGGCTACTACACCACACTGGGTATCCATATAAAATGTTTACCAGAACAAATTCCTTATGCTTACCTAGATGCCTCTGCCTTCTTCTGGACGAACCAGAGCACAGTCCCACAGACCCCATCTCCTGTCATTCAAACCTACATGATAGGCCTGGCTTGAGCATTAGCTAGAAGAAAGTAGTTGCCTTTGGCAATCAAATGGGGAGTGGAATGTTTGGGTCAGTGGCAAAGCTCCCACCACTCAGTTACCACCACCCGTACATGGTTTTGCCACCATGGCCAGTTGGAAACATTGATGGGGATGTGAGTTCAGGCAAATAAGAACAGTGGTGCTAGCAACAGGGTTGGTTGGTTGGTTGGTTGGTTGGTTGGTTGGTTGGTTGGTTGGTTGGTTGGTTGGTTGGTTGGGTGGTTGGTTGGTTGGTTGGTTGGTTGGTTGGTTGGTTGGTTGGTTGGTTGGTTGGTTGGGCATCGCTATAGGCTGTCTGGCCACTTCTAAGGTACAGCTGCTAAGTGGCCATCTATTGGCATAAGACCTATGGGACAGGGCATTGTGGTAGGGATGGTCTCCCAAAGTGTCTTGTCCCCAATGATCTTCACCTTAGGAAGTATCTGGTGGCGTTACAGCTTTACCCTGAAGATGACCAAGGAGCCAGTGAAAATTTAAAACAGCTTATCATCTCTCTTGTTGCAGCCATCCTCTTAAAGGGCAGTTTCAACAGGGGGTGGGGGTGGCAAGGAGTAGGAGGCAGACTTTCTTCTCCCATGGGCTTGTGCTTGCACAACTGCACAGTGCCTAGAAATCAGTATGAATTCTATGTTGAGCCAACTCATTCCAGGCCTGAGTCAGTAGAAAAGAGCCTGTCTTCCTTGGGGCACTTTCCCATTCCTCTTTTTGTTGTGTACTGCAACTGCAAACCCAAAAAGTGAAAAAAAAATCATCTGGAGGAACAACCTCTTCAATTTCCAAAAGTGGGTCCAGTTTATGCATGTCGTGAATTGCACTGCCCTTCTGCAGGATGGCTTCCATGTATTTCTCTCATTATTTATGCTGAGAATGATAGAAGAGGTCACGAGCCACATTTTTCTACAAAGCTGAGTCATAATGACAGTTCTGGAAGTGAGCTTCCCATGACCTGAACGGTATTTGGAGTAGAATGAAATGAAACAAGGCAAAATCACCTCCATACTGATGACTTTATTTCTAATGTGTTCCTTCCATCTCACTCACCTTCTCTTCCCGGGTGGACCCTGTACCTTCTCCAAGGTTGGTGTCACGAGGCTGCAGCTCCAAAACAGTACGGAAGAGTTTCTCTGAGGTTTGGGTCAAGAATCCAATTTCAGCATTAGGGTGGAGTCCATACAGGTAGGGAGACTCAGCAGGCAAGTTTGCATCTATATACTGGGTAGGAAAATTATACCTTCAGTAAGGCATCAGATCTCACTCAGTTCTGTCATTCATCCATAATGCTACTGAGCCACGAGGAAGCCAGTGCTGGAGCTGTCAAATGCACTGTATTAATAATCAGTCTGTCTCCAGCCAAACCAATATTAGCAGTTTATTATGCTAAATCTCCATTATGAATTTCTAAATGGGATCCATTTATTGACTTGGTTTGGTATATGCCTTGACACCAATGGCCTCACTTCTTAGGTAGGAAACAAATAACTATGAGCGTTGGTCATCAGGGAGAGGCCACATGCAGACTTATCCATGGGAACAAAGCCAGATTCATTCTCTGCATCCTGCTGCCAACACCTCATCCTTCCACTCCCCAAAGATGGATGAGTGTGATAAATAACTACGTACAATTTGGAGGTTTCTCATCAGACCATATGAGAAAAGGTGCCTCTAAGCATACTGGAGATAAGCAATATATCAAGCATTTCAGTAAAGTCAATAACAATGGTAATGACCAGCAGAAACCCAGACATTCCTACTAAGAGAGGGTCATTAGTGACTTTAGCAGGGACCTTACTCCCTGACAGATACATGTATGTTTGCAGCTTCAAAGCTGTTTTGAATAAATAGGTGCAACTTTCTGCTAAGTATGTTTGGCTGGAGAAACAAAAATGCTTATTCCTTCATGACTCAAACATGCTCTTCAGAGAAGACTGAACATCTGACTGGAAACAGCCCGATGACTAGCAAACACAACAAAGTCACAGATTGGGTAAGCATTCTTTCATATAGGTGTGAGACTGAAAACAAATTCCAGCAGGCTAAACCAAATTGCACCTACCTGGTGATAGCTATTATAGTCCATGTTGCCTGGGAGGGGAAATCCTGGAGCCAGCATGAATTCTCCCTCCATCATTTCAGGCTTGATGAACTCCTCCAGGTAGGTCTTGCAGAGGCGCCTGTCCCAATCGTCTGTTATGTGCCCTCCGTACATGATTTCTCCAAAGAGATACCGCAGATCATCATAGGGAACCTGAACGGCAGTGGAAAAGCAGGCATGAGCAAGCGGCAAAGGATCCTGCTTCACATCAGCAGGCAATTCACTACATGCCCTTGTAAAGCTTGTTGGGGAGCATGAGTGGGAGGGTGCCGTTCCACTTTTTTTCTGCTTGACTCCTAGCCACTTGTGATCGGAAACAACGGTGGACTAAACAGGGCTTTTCCCCCCCTCCTCCCACACATCTTTTCATGCATTCTAAAGTCTCAGAAAATGTTTTTATTTCACCAGCTCATTTTTTTCTGAACAACTGAATGCAATGTAGCAACTGAATTACCCTACTAAACAACTCAGAGAAGCCCAGACTGCAGAACAGACTGTGTGTATGTGTCTATGTAATGCGAGGGGAAAGGGAGAAAAGATGGGAGGATTGCTACTTAAAACAAAGGCAAATATATTTATTCCCGCATCCAAACATTTCAAAATGTTTTTGTAGGAAAGTCACAGGAGAGACAGCAGCAGGCCAGAAATGGGCATTCACAACAACAGGGATGCAAACGTGTTCTTTCAGGAACCCCAGTAGTAGAACAGAAGTGTGGGCATGTGTGCCATATATATAAGGCACAGAACCCAAAGCCAAAGCTAGTGTTGATCTGTTAATCACTTAGATACACAAAAGCATAACTCTTAGCACATGATGAGGTATATGTACAGCTCACCTTTGAACTAGCCTCCAAATAATTGTACAGAACATTGACTGAAATGGTAAGGTCTCCAGTGTTAAAGGGGTATGAACGATTCCACCCCTGGGGACCAAATTTGCGTCTTTCTGCTACCACAGCATGGAAGTAGCAGAGGGCGAAGAGGATGCTCTTAAATTCACTTTCACGGCTACACATCTCAAGGGTGTCCTAAAAAAAACAAAGACAGTAAGAGAGGTGATTGTTTTCTTAGTGAGCACAATATTGGGTCCTGAGCAGGAACCAGATGAATTGCAAATTCTCTTCACATATACTGAGACATCCGACTATCAATACTTGGAGTCATAAGGATTCATACACCTAACCGTTAAATATGTGAGAGGCTATGGCAGTTCCTTGAGTTTTGGTCTGTTTCCAGCCTTGCTGATCATTGAGAACAGACCAAATTTGAGCCTTCCTGGCTGTCAAGGCACCTTCCGATTGGAATTTCTGATCCCTGGATTCAACTGTGGGGATTTTCTCAACCAACCCTTCAAATAAACCAAACAAAACGTATTTTTAAATAGTGTTTACGGCACCAGCAACACTCTACTACAGTTGTAAAAGAAGTTTAACTTCCCCTTCCTGTCTGCCAAGGAAGTGTTCAATTTTCTGATACCCTGAAGTGGCTCGCTTACTACAACATTTCATGATATCAGAAGAAACCGGACCAAATAGGGTTGCTTGAACTCTGACATACCATTTGGATGCAAAGATCACACCAAAGGACATAACACACCTGCACTCTACTCCAAGCGACCCTATTTATATCAGCCCAGTTCAAAAGAGCCAGTATAGACAACCCCTTATTCCCCATTGATAGCCCATTTTAATACAGCATATACTCAAAACTGGTAATTTTTAACACAATTATTCTACTTTAATAGAAAAAAACAATTGATCCATATAATTAATATTATCTTTTATTTTTAACATTTGTTCTCCCTGTGATCACGTGGTGATGAAATGTCATGTGAAAGTTTTTCTAGGATTTGTATCAATGAACAAACACTAAGGCTGTGCCACTAATTCAGTCAAATTAGACTGATTTCAATTCAGATCAAGTCCAGTGCAGATCAAATTAGTCTGAATTGTCTCTAAAACTTTGAAAAACAGTTTCAGATAAGGATAATGCTAGGATGGTATGTCACATTCCCAGCCCCCACCTGTTTATTGTTGTATTCAAATGATCTCTGTATAGGTAAGTTGGCTGTTTGCATCTATATGAGTGCTGGATGTATGCCAGGTAAGACTATCGTGACAGTTGAAAGGAGGGAAGAAAATGCCCCCATGGAACCTTATTTCCACTGGCTATTTTTCCTAGCTCAAGGAGAGGTTATAGAGCATATAGAACAATAGGTGAGTGCTGAGAGACAGAGAGAGAAAGAAATTGAGTATAAATAGAGATAGGGAGAACATGATGAGATGAGTGGCATGATACAATGAGGAACTGACAGATAGTCAAAGTCTGGATTTCATAGGTTTACATGTAAATTGGGATTTTTTTTTTCCAATTTATATGCCGCCCAAACTACCCAGAGGTCTCTGGGCGGCTTACAATAATTAAAATTCAATACAGCAAAAGATAAAATAATTAAAATACAATTAAAATTGCCATCAGACCCACAGCTAATATTATTTCAATTAAAAGCCTTCTGGAGTTCATAGGTTTACATGTAAATTGGGATGTTTGGATTATACTTTTGTTAGATAAAAAGCTGTATAAAATAACCTTATTTTGTTTTGTTTGATTGTCATTCCAAACCTTAGCATTTTATTCTTCTATAAAAATATAAACATATTTTGTATATCAAACTTCTCCTTATTTTCCAGTGAGTTACCACAAAAACATCCGCATTAGCTGCTTGATCACATTCAAACAAGAAGGAAAAGGAAAGCGGGGGGAACTTATATGACAGTGGTGACAGCATGACTCAAGGATATGAGTTTTTTAAAAAAAGATTAAGTAAAGATCTTCCATAGAGAGAAAAGGAGGTTGAAGAAGGGGTTCAGGTGGCCACCCTACTGCGTGGAGTGAACCATATGAAGGAGCTACCCTGGGTATCTGATCAGGTAGCATCAGGGTCCAATGTGAGCACAGGAGTCCCTGTGTACTGTCAAGAAGTGACAACCCAACTGAAGAAGGTGTGGGAGTGTCACATGAAGTCATTTTGATTTCAAATCACATTGCTTTGTTTGATCCTCATAGACTAAAAATGCACAAGCTCCAAGCATTAATCCCAGTGCTGTCTATTAGCAAGGTATTAAGCATATTAAACAAAATGTTAAAGGCTGATAGCATAAAGCCACCTGGAACTGTGTGTGAAAACTGTTAAGAATCATCAGCTCTGAAGGAATTGTAGTGCCCCCAAATTTCATGTAATTATACAAACAAACAAAAAGGTTATGTCCGTTTTCAAATTGGACTTTTTGTAAGTGGAAAGGGCACAAAAAAAGGTAATCCTATTCATCTGGAATTTGGAAAGAATAATCTGAGGAAGCTAGGCTCCCAAAGAAAACAAAAATATTAGAGCTCCTTTAATTTTGCAAGGTAAATTGATAGAGGTGACTATCTGAATTTCCAAATATAAGTTCTGATCTAGATTTCAGATCAGATCAGGCATAGATTGATCCAGATCTCGATCTCTGAAAAAGAGCCCCAAAATCTCAAACCAAATCAGGAGATACTTGCACAGGCCTAGCACGTACAATCTCACCTGTTCTATGCTCCCTGTATTACAGGCTGCTATTTTAAAAAACACTTTGGTACTCCTGCAGTCTGTTTAGGGCACGGCACAGTCTGAATGCCAGGTGGCTGATTGCAGGAAGAATCTTCCTTACTATATCTGGTTATGATATTTTCAGGGAAGTCAGTCATTCAACAACAGCAAAGATTACTCCGATTGATCTTTTCATAATCCTTCTAACCCAACAAAACTATAATCTTCTAAACCTATAAACTCAAGACTCCCCGTATTTTAAGACCAATGCACCTTTAGCTCTCTCTCTCTCTCTCTCTCTCTCCCCCCCCCAGGTTCCTGGATGAAAAATTAACAGAGGCATCTGAGGCACAACAGTACAACAAAGGTACTCTGTCCTTATTTGACACATTTCTCTATCTGCAAAGCACCCAATGTATAATGCTGAAGCAATACCAAATCACATTCTTTATTTAAAATAAATATGGTAATAAACTCTGCTTGAAAAACTATATCTGTGAAAGGCTTGCATTAGCTGCAACAGTAACTCAAAGCAACCAGATTCAGTATAAAGCCATTGATCCCACCCATAGCAGAATCCGGGGAGTGAAAGACTTTTTGTAGCAGTCTAGCTATCTTGGAAACATTAATTATTATCTGATTTGCATGAAAGGAATTCAGAAACCCTGAAAACTCCACATGCCACCCCTCCTTCCTGGAAACCTGGGATATTGAATGACAGTAGATGGATACAAAATAAGCCTGAGTGCCAGCATTAACGCCCACTTAATTCTGAAATTCCAGTTCTTACAATGGAGAATACTTCAGTGACAGGAACCATCAACAGAGTTCAGAAATACAGAGCAGGTGTACTGAAACAGAACAATGAAGACAAGGGAACCTAGTCTCTTTCTTCTCCTGGAAGAGACAACATCCAATTGAACCTCAATAGGCTTATACAGTATAGACACTTCATTTTGATAGTCTCTGCTCTAGGTAAGCCACAACACTTAACACAGCAAGTACAAGATTAGTGTTTTAAGAGATCTGCAGAAGTACCTTATGAGGAAGACGGGTAAAGCTAAAGTGGGTGTCTGAAACATTATACTAGTAGTATCCCTAGATAGGCACTGGCTATAATCACAAAAAATCTGAGGGTATGTCAGACACACTTGCTGTACAAAGGATAGGAATATAGCATTCTACCTGTATTACATTAGTCTGATTAAAGTCACTCCAAATTAATCTAAAATTTACCAAGCTATGGATGGGCTTCTGGGCACATTGACTCTTTACTAATCTGACCATCTATCCAACCACTCTATTAGAACACTAAGGAACCTCCAGAGGATGTTGGATTAATACCTGGTTAAAGTTGTCCAGAGCTTTGTGGAGGTTGGCATGCATCCCTGTTGGGGGTTCGTTTGTGATTTTGATGGAGTTCTCTAGGATGCCCTGTGGTATGATGTGGCCTTCAGGAGAAGGTGCAGGCTCTGCACTGATGAAGATGCGAAATTCAGGGTGACTGCCTTCACTGTGCTGCTCTAGCTTTTTCTCCAGGGAACTCAGCCACTTGGCCACCAGGTGAATGTTCTAGCAGAAGAAAAATGGTTGTTATCGCCACTGGTTTTTAATTCAGTAGTAACGAGCCATCATTGAACAGACTCCTTCCAGGAGGTAAACATACTCTGCCTCCTTCCAGCATCAGGAGCAAGTACTGTGCCTAGTAATTCTCAGCAATGTAATTCACTTCCAGAGACATTAGCTGCACATAAAAGGATGTAGATTTCATACACTTTGAAATGCAAAATAATCAAGACAAATAACTAGCAATTAAGGAAACAGCTCAGAGTGTTTGTTTTCTTAGGGACAATGATATTCCATTTGTTAGAATAAAGTACTGCTGCTGAAGTAGCATTATTTCATCCAGACAAAACAAAGGTCCTATAGACAGCTGAAATAAAATTACTTGATTACTTTCAGTCAAATAATTCACCCTTGAAATCTGAGCCAGTTACCAAAAAATCACATTTCATATCCTGCTGAACAGAGGTCTTCACAAATTTGCAGTGCTGGCATTTTTATAGAAACCAACCCATTCCAGACTGGATCTACCTCCCATCCAGCCATTTGATAGCCACATCCTTGTTCAAGATTTCATAAAACATCATAAAGAATCAGCTGAAGGGTTCTGAATTTCTGGCAAAATTCTGTTTGCTGCACAGCAGAATAACAGAGATTCACAGAGGAGTAAAGCTACAAGTTCCCCAGAGACCAGTGCTTTCTTATTAACTGTCACTTAACAGTCTCAATAACTCACTCTGAGACATCTGTAGGAAAAAGAAATTTTCAAAAGTTATTTACTTATAGTTGCTTGAATTTACACACTTATGTATTCTGCTTCCGTTATGCCACACACACTTTGCAACAAACTGAACAGATCAAGGCTAGAGAGCATTTGGAGACGGGACCCAACAGAAGCTACTCTAATATGTAGCTGCAAAAAATGACATCTAACATCTACTTAGCTAAAGTGAAGGCTACAAGACAATGTTACTTCACGTCCCAGGTAAGTGAAACTCGTAACCATCAAGCCAAACTTTTTCATCTCGTGTGCAATTTATCTGGGATTGGTCACAAGGACAGGCCTCTCAGTAGTATCTCTTGTGACCAATTTGCAGCCTTCTTTAAAAACAAAGTGGAGACCATCTTCCAGGACCTGGATTCCTCCTCTTTATCAGTAGGTTGAGCTGAGACATCTGCTGCCGGAGAACCTGATACAATTTCAGCCAGTGACATGTGCTGCTCCGCCTTGCCTGGAGAACCTGATACAATTTCAGCCAGTGACATCAACTGAAGTTGACAGGGTGCTTGAGAGCTGTAGGGCTACCACCTCTTCACTCGATCCTTGCCGGGCCTGGCTGCTGAAAGTGGACAGACCCGTAACAGTAGAATGGGCCACCACCATTATCAATGGGTCTATCTTTGAGAGCAGGGTGCCCCATGCCCTCAAGGAGACACTCATTAGACTGATCCGGGAAAAGGTCAACTTGGCAGCGGATGACATAAACAATATAGACCCATTGTCAATGTCCCTTTCATAAGCAAGCTGGTGGAGAGAGTGATGTCCAATCAGCTTCAGGCGCTCCTGGAGGAGACCAATGCCATCAATCCATTCCAGTCTGGGTTCTGGCCACGTCCTGGCATGGAGACGACATTGGTCACCCTGCAAGATGACTTTTTAGGGAGATTGATAAAGCCAAACATCCTTGTTGATCCCCCTCAACCTATCAGCAGCCCTTAATACCGTCAGCTATGGTATCCTCCTGGGGAGGCTTTCTGGGATGGGGATCGGAGGTCAGGCCTTGGCCTGGCTCCAGTCCTTCCTGGAGGACCATCCTCAGAAAGTGTAGCTTAGGGAGATGTTGTCCACTCCATGGATTCTCAACTGTGGAGTCCTGCAGGGGTCAATAATCTCCCCATCTATATGAGGCTGCTGAGGGAAGTAATCAGGAGCTTTGGAGCTTTGTGTCATCAATATGCAGATGAAACCCAGCTCTATCTCTCCTTCCACCCTTCTGTAGTGGATGCTGTCCTGTCCCTTGAGCGCTGCCTGGATGCCGTACTGGGGTGGATGAAGGATAATAGATTGAGGCTGAACCCAGATAAGATGGAAATCCTGCAGGTGGGGGCCCTAATGTCTGTGGTCTGGGTGCTTCCCTTTCTTTTGGGGAGGTTATTTTACTGCAAAGGATGAGGTGCGCAGCTTGGACGTACTGTTGAACCCAGCACTATCAATGTAATCTTAGATAGCATCTTTGGTCTGCAACACTTACTTCCATCTAAGGCAGATCACTCAGCTGCATCCCTACCTTAACACCAGGTCCCTCACCATGCTGTTTACTGCACTGGGAGTCTCAAGATTAGACAACTGAAATGCTCTCCACATGGGGCTGCTCTTGGTGCTGGCACGGAGACTTCAGCAGGTCCAGAACTTGGCTGCCAGGTTACTAAGTGAGGTAAGGAGACATCAACATATCTCCCCTGCCCTAGCTGCTCTGCACTAGCTACCTGTTTGTTTCCATGCCAGCTTCAAACCTGGTTACTAAGTGGGGTAAGGAGATATTAACATATCTCACCCACCCTAGCCGCTCTGCACTAGCTACCTGTTTGTTTCTATGCCAGCTTCAAGGTAATGGTGTTAACATACAAAGCCCTAAATGGTTTTGGACCTCGTTATCTGGCTGAACGCCTCCTTCTGACCAGGTCTGTCCCTCCTGTAAGATCTTCCCAGGCTGGACGGTTGAAAGTTTTGACCCTGAGAAAGGCTCAGAAATCAGTGATCACAAACTAGGCATTCTTGGCGGTAGCCCTGCAACTGTGAAATGCTCTCCCACCCCAAATTCGCCTGGTGCTTTCATTGGGAACTTTTAGGTGACTACAGTGGTGCCTTGCTTAACGACAATTTGTTCCAAGAAAATTGTCATTAAGTGAAAACATCATAAAGTGAAAATAAAAACCCCATTGAAATGCATTGAAACCTGTTCAGTGCGTTCCAATGGGGTAAAAACTCACCGTCCAGCGAAGACCCTCCATACGGCAGCCATTTTCGCTGCCTGTATAGCAAGGAATCCGTCCCTAAACACAGGCAGGGAGCCATTTTAAACACCTGGCGACCATTTTGAAACCGCCAATCAGCTGTTCAAAAAACGTCATTTTGTGAAGAATCGGTTCCCGAAGCAGAGAACTGATCATCGCAAAGCGAAATTCCCCCATTCAGACCCTCGTTTGGCAGAGAGGTGGAGCTCTCTTTGAATTCAAAGGCTGGAAGGAGATTGGTTGGATAGTGCCAGACAGACAATCACACCAGCCCAGAAAAATCCCTCCCAGTCACACAAACTACAGACAGTGTACAAGGTTGTAAACAAAACTCCAACAGAATCTACATTCTGACCTGTACAAGGTTGTAAACCAAACTCCAACAGAATCTACATTCTGACCTTTCCTCCAATGGAAGGGAGCCATAAAAGCAAGGGGAAATACTGGCAAGTAATAGCTCTTCAAATACTGACGTTGAGAAGCAATTCAGAAAAATTAGGGGAGGCAAAAAGAACAAGAACAGTCATATGATCGCAAGGAGACAAAGAGTCTCCACTGCAATTCTCAGGGGCATGTGGACATGCTGCCATACTGCATGTCTCTGAGAACTGCACACTCCTCTGAGAATTGCAATGGGGACCTCTTATTAGTTAGGAACAGACAGAAGTTACAAATTTTTTTATGCCGAGCAACAGGATTTCTGCCATTGAGTTTCTGGATACTATATTTGAATACAATATTTTGTAGGTGAGGAGTGGATAATGACTGGTCCTGTAGATGTTATTGGGCTGCATCTCCCATCGTTCCTCACCATTGTCTCTGCTGGCTAGGACTGAAGGGAGCTCTTGGCAAAAAAAAAACATCTGGAGAACCACTCTGCACATTCCTGTTTTCTTGCAAGCTTTTTTGCATAACTCCATATAGGAGGGATTGAGATATAAATTACTGTATCTGAATAAATGGGTTTAATCTGAAATAGAGCAAATGGATGGTAAGCACTACAATTTCACTTACTGACAATGGGAGCTCTATGTGGAGGCCCATGTGTCCCATCAAAAGGGAGAAACCTAGAGTTCCATCCAGATCAGATTTTTCATCTCAAGGCACCAGTGCTGACGATCTACGGTAAGTGCCTATCCTCTGAAAAGAAAGGTACTCCCAATAATCTCTTAGGGCAAAAAAGCAGATGGCAGTTGAATAACCTTCACTCTTTTCCCAGCAAATCCAATTTCTTACTTAGGCAACACCTGAACACAGATCCCATAGCAATAGTTGGAAACTTTGGAAAATATGTTATTTAGTACATCTGCTTCAGCAAGATTTCTTTATAAGGATCCACAGATCAAAGGGATAGATCTAAGGGAGAGGCATCAACCAGGTAATCAGGGTCTTTGTGTCAGTGAGAGCCACTGAAAGGCACGGACGATGTTTTTATTTTGGTAGGCCTTCAATGTGGGAAAACTGAGACCTTTGCTATTTTTCCACAGAAACCAGTGGTTGTGTGCTGACCTTCAGATACATGATGAAATTTGGGGAGTTGTTTGGGTTTTTTTGGTGGAGGGAAAATACATCAGACATGGAAGTTCTTTAGACAAGAGATTCATGAATAAAACACATAACATTCTGTCACTAAGGGATCTTAAGGTCATAGCTTTTTCAGAACGGGAATCATTTTCAAATTTGGTTCTTGCTATGTTGGACAGGCCAGGTTTTGATAAAGAGGCATGGCTGAGAACATTGAAACAAGCAGGGGTACTGTGTGGGGCAACAGGAAGGAGGAGGAGCCTGCCTGCTGCTCAGTTAATCTACAGGCAATTGACTGCTTCTACAAACATGAACCTTAATTCTAGTTATTTGCCTCAGCCCACTGCTAGCTACAAAACTTTTGTGTGGCATGTCACTTGATTAATCTATAATTCCCTTTACTCGGTGCTCACTACAGGACAATGTTCTGCGCAATCAATCCTACACAGCCCCAAACTGCAGACACTCAT